CTGCAGGAGGAATTCTTGGTGTGGAAGGAGCTGCTGTGTGCTCCACCCTCGGGGCCTGTGGCTGTGAGTGATGAGCTCTTGCAGTGGTGTTAACAGTGAGGAATTCTGTCCTCCTGCAATGAGTTTCACTCCCTTTGTACTGGTCACAAACCAGAATGGATGTGGGCTTGTGCTGCACAGGAGAAAAGGCCTGCATGCCATCCTGTGCACCCCAGAGCCCCTTTTGGGCCCCACTCTCAGCCCTTTTTGCCCCCCTTAGCCCCTTTTCCTGCTCTCTCTTACTCAGAGCTGAGCACGGCCGTGCTTTGAGCTCTGTGTTGGGTTGTTTCCCTCTCAGCTCCCTGCCCAGAGCTGGCCCAAGGAGCAATCTCTGTCTCTCAGTTCTCTGCCTCTGCAGCTTTTAAAGACACAAAGCTGGAATTCAGCGTGGCTGCCCTGCCCTGCTGAGCCCTGTTCTCAGGCCCTGCTGCCTTGGGCTCCCTGCAGGTGCTGCCCAGGTTTGAGGCACATTTAACTCTGCTCCCTCTCCTGGTCCTGGGCACTGCTGGCCTGGGACACGGTTCCCTGGTGGTGACAATCCAGGAATGACCAGCACTCCTGCACCAGCTGTTATTTGTTTGCCAGAGCTTTTTCTGCCTCAGGGTTCAGATGAGTTGGGGGGTGGGTGGTAGGGGGGCTAGACAAACTGCCTCTAGAAGCAGAGGAGTTTCCTCTTGCAGGGTTTTTCCCTTTTCTGTCACACCTTGGGTGTGTTGTGATGCTGGATGTGATCTGCAGAGAGCTCCTTTGTTGGGCACTTGGGACGCTTGGGAGCTCTCCTTTCTTCCAAGTGTAAATGATCCCACGGCACGGTTTGCTCTGGGATTTGTGCTCAAGCTCTGCAGAGCTGAGTTTGCACACCTGGACAGGTAATGTCTGGTGCCAGGGGGGTTTTGTGGTCTTGGGAGCAGAACTGGATCAGCAGCCAGGGTTGGTGATGGCTCCTGTTCTTCTCCTTTGCACGTGTTGCTGCCAGTTGGGATGAGATTGGCTCTGGCAGGATTGAACTGTTTTGGGGGGTTCTCTGCTTTTTCCCAGGGTTAACAGAGTTTTGTTCGTGTCCTCACAGGCTTCCTGAGGGCTTCACCCAGCTCCGAAGCCTGGGCCACTTGGCCTTGAACGATGTGTCCCTGCAGAGCCTCCCCAGTGACATCGGGAAGTGAGTATGGCCCAGTTCTGGCAGCAGGGAGGGGCTGCGCTGGGGACAGCTGCTCTGGGATGGGGACAGTGACCTGGGGGGACAGGGCAGGTGCTGTGTGAGCACCTCTGAGCCTTGCTTTGTAAAAAACCTTCCCACCAAGGCTCCTGTCCTGGTCCCAGCTGCTTCTGCTGTGGTTTGTGGCACAGAAGGGTTGACCCAGTCCTTCCCTGGGTTCCGAGTGCCCATTTCCCCTTCCCAAGCAGGTGTGGGCAGCCTGATGATGTTTGAGTCAGGTTTATGCTGCTGGCAGGTGGCTTCAGTGGGGTGCAGGGCCTCTCCCGTGGGGTTTGTCTCCCCACAAGTGAGGATTTGACGTTTTTGGGCTGACAGTCCTGTTGTGGCCGCGTGTTCCTCGTGCTGAGTGTGGGCAGAGTGTTGTTCCTCGTGGCTGCAGCCAGCAGTGTCCACCAGAGCCATTTCCATCGTGTTCTTTCTGTTCCCCACCTCCATCCACGTGTGTCCCTTCCTGCCTTGCACAGGACCTGAGGGGGGGTCCCAGGGAAGGGAGATGAGCAGCTCCCCTTGTCCCCGAAGCCCTGTCCAGTGAACCTGGCTTTCTTGCTCCCTTTTCTCTTGCAGTTTGGCAAACCTGGTGACTTTGGAGCTCCGTGAGAACCTGCTAAAGACTCTCCCCACGTGAGTGTCTGTCTGGGGGCTGCAGGAGTCTCCTGCCTGCTCCTTCCTGCTGCTTCCTCAGGGACCAGTGCAGGCTCCATCACCTGGCTTGGGAGGGCTCAGGCTGGGCAGAAATAGGAAATCCATCTTGCTGCATTTCCAGAAACTGGGGCAAGGAGGGAGAGGATGGTGCAGGGCTGGAGAGCAGCAAAGCATCCTGTGCAGCAGAGCCTGTGTTCAGCCTGTGGAAGGATTGATTCAGAATAAACAGGGATCCCAAAAAAAGCTGCTGCAAACAGTGAGAACCATTTTTCCTGAAGAGGTGGGGCAGGCAATGGATTCTTTTGGAAAGAAAGAGCAAACTGTGGATGGGGGTGTAGGAGCAGCTCTGTGCACACTGAGGCTCGGGATTTGAAGAGCACCAGGGTACAGTGAAGGGTCCGTTTTGCTTCTGACACCTGTTTTGTTGGATATCCCTCCTGCAAGGGAGAAGAGGTAAGTGCTGTCCCATGTTTAGGGATAGGATGAGTTCTGGCAGGGAGCATGGCTGGTGGAGCAATGCTCTCAGGTGGATGGACTTGGAGAACTGCCCAGGTGCTCCTTTAGTCTTTGCTTTGGCCCATCGGAGTTTGAGTTTTCTGCCCTCCATCAGCTCTGCCAGATTGTTTCCTGCCTGCTTCTGCATCCCACTGATGATTCCCCAGCTTTCCCTGGATGTCCCTGGAAGGGATTCTGGAAGGGATTGTGCCCAGCTCCTTTTGGACAGCAGTTGTTCAGGGCCCACATGAGCTCCACACGAAGGTGTGATGTGTGCAGCTCTTGTCACCTGTCCTCAGAGCTCTGTCACTGCTCCTGGCAGGAGCTCAGTTTGTGTGCTGGCACTTCCCCCCAGGGTTACACCCTGTGGAAGCTCAGATCAGTCACAGGATCAGCTCGTCCAGTCCCTGTCAGCCCATCCCCTGTGCACAGCAGTGACCCTGCCACACATGCTGAGATGGTCCCCTGTGGAGCATCAGCACAATTAGGAGTTAAAGCTCCTTATCACACAACCCCAGCGTGGTTTGGGTGGAAGGGACCTCAGCTCATCATGTCCCAGCCCATGGCCTTGGCAGGGACACCTCCCACTCACGCCAGGTTGCTCCAGCTTGGCCTTGAACTCTTATTCTGGGCTGGGAGCTGGCAAGCAGGAGGAGTTTGGCTCCTGGTGTTGGGCTGCTCGAATGCCTGTTCTTGTCCTGCTCACAGCTGGGTGACACCGTGTCAGCAGTAGCTTCACCCAAGCCTGGCCTTCAGACTGCACTGAGGATAATCCCAACAGCTTTTCACCATCTCAGGGCCACCGAGTCTCTGGATGTTGGGAACTCGGCCTGTGACCACTCCCTTGGGTTTTTGGGGACTTCTCTCTTGCCCAGTGCTCCCGTGGTGCCATCCAGCAGGACAACTCGGAGTGTGCTCTGAGGTTTTGGTGTTTTTCACTGGAAGGTTAATCCAGTCTCAAGACTCAGTCTGTAATGCAAATTCAGCTTCTTTTCATCTTTCCCCAGTTCCCCAAATTCTATTTCGGGATGATTTCCAAAAGTAGAGCATGGACCTTGAGGGCCAAGGTAAATCTGGTCAGATCCATCAAGTACAAGATGGCCAAAACCATTTCAGTGGTGCTTGGGGTTCTCTGCCTGAATCTCTGGTACTGAACTCTGGCTGCACATTGTGCCTAAGAGCAGCTCTAAGTGAGATCAGGACACCTTGCCAAAGTGGAGAATGACTTAAGTAAAAAAAAAAAAAAGCTGGTGCTTTGTTGCCAGGGCTCCTGGGCCCAGGGGATAGGTGAGCTCCAGTGCTGAGAATCTGGGGCACCAAAATGCATCCATGTCCTTTGGGTGGATTTTTGTTGTAGATCTTCTTGAAAGATCCAGCTCCCAGTGACCTTTGTTTGCCAAAATTCCGTTTCACTGGTCAGTCTTCTGATGCTGACTGAGTCCTGGAATGGCTCAGCTTGTACAGGTGCTGCTCAGCCGTCCTGTGTGCCCTGCAGAGGGGACTCAGCCACAGACCTGGGGAGGGCAGCTCTGACATCTCGTGGGCAGTGCAGGGTGACCCATCCTGAGACCTTCTGCCACATGGGGATTCACGTGTTCCTGTGTTGGGAATTCAGGCTGTGAAGGTGCAGAGGGCCAGGCCAGGCTGCCTCACCTTCAGGGGGTTAAAGTTGGTGTATCCATGGTGAAGGAGTGCTGTGCAACAGGATCCCTGGGATGAAACTGTTGATAAACCTTTGCTGGGGTTTATCTCAAAATCCACCACTGCGTGCAGGAGGAAATTAATTTTCCTGGGTAACCCAGATGTTTTTACAGCCTGGCCCAGGCAAGACAGGTCCCTTTTATTGCAGCCTCGGTTGGGGTGGCCTTGAGAGGTGGAATTGGGGGTTTCTCAGTTGGAATGGTTCCTTAGGAAGAGGCTGAAGCTGTTCCTGCTGGGGGAGTGGGCAGGGCTGGCCCCGGGCACCTGGGGAGTGGTAGAAGTCCTCTGGGGAGGGGGAGCTGGAGCTGATGGGTCAGACTCAGGTGTGAGGACGAGTGAGCACCTGGGCCATGTTTTGGGGACCCCCCCGGGTCTGTGGGAGTGCAGGCCTTGCCCTCCCCGGGTGTGGGGTGTGGGGTGCTCAGGGCACGTCCCTGCTGGGGACAGGCTGTGCCTCCTGTGCAGTGTTTCCATCCTGACCTCTGTGTGTACCTGTCACCTCACCTGAGACATCAGGCCACCGTTGTCTTGAGCAGCATGAGCATCCTGTGTGGGGACACTGAGGCTGCCGAGTTTGTCATTCCTGCCTGTCCCAGCTGTGCTCCCCTGTCCCCAGATGTGTCCTGTCCTCTCTGAGTCCTCTGCTGTTGTCAGTCCGTGCCCAGCTCGCTGGCCTCGCTGCAGGGCAGGCGGTGCTGTCAAGGTGCCGAGCTTTGGTCAAAGGCTGGGCTGTGGTGGCAGGGGCAGAAGGTGACTGGTACCAGTGGAACTGGGCCTGCTGCTGCCTCTGAACCCAGCTCCCTGGGGCCTGGCTTGGGCAGGGGAGCAGCTCCACAAAGCCGGGCTCAGAGGGACGTGGGAAGGGTCAGGAGTGCCCCACCTGCTTTAGGAGTTCTGGGGATGTGTGCAATGTGTGCCCACATGCTAACCTTCCACTCCTTATTTCTTGTTTTCTCTCTGTCCCCTGTGCCTTGCAGTTCACTCTCCTTCCTTGTCAAGTTGGAGCAGTTGGATCTCGGTGGCAATGACCTGGAAGTGCTGGTAGGTGAGGGCTGGGGAGGGGTTTGGGTGGTTGGCAGGGGCAGGTCCAGCACCTCGGTGCAAGCAAGTGGATTTCCACCTGAAATGCAAAGAAAGAGACCCTCAGCTTTTCTGGGGAGATTCTGATCTGCCCAGCATGGCCCAGTCATCACTCCCAGATGAATTTTCTCTTCATGTGTCAGCCCGTGTGTCCTGCTGGCCTCACACCCTGCTGCTCTGTCCTTTCCAGGCTCTGGGATGGGAATTCTCCCTGTCTGGCTGCCAAGGACCTTTCCTTTCCAGCAGGACTCTGCTTCTCTGTCCTGCACTGCCCCCAGCTGCTTTTCTCCTCATCCAGCTTCCTGCCTTTCTCCTTTCTGATGTGATTTCTGCCCCACACAGTGCTGGGCCGTTCTGTGCTGTCCGTGGCAGTGAGGGTAGCCCAGAGTGGGGCTCTGCATGGAGGGCTCAGCATGTGGAGAGCGAGGGCACAGTGTCAGAATTCAGATTACCTGGGCATTTGGGGACACCCTGTGATATTCTGTGACTTTGCAGCTGGGGGTTGAGCTATTACTGGATCTTACTTTTCGTTCTGGAAGGGGTTTTGGCAGAAATCCATCAAAGCTGGGAGGCAGAGGGGTCTGTGCAGCTGAGCTGGGCACAGGCTGAACTCACCTGTGAGAACAGGTGTGTGACACTCGAGCCAAGCTCCAAACCCAAATGCTGATTGCCCGGGGGCTGTGGGATGTGAACCTGTGTCTGTCACAGCTGATGGGGCCACTGGGTCATGTTGGGTTGGCCAGTGGTACCCAAATGTTAATTTTCATGTCTGAGAGGAGGAAAATGCAATTCTCCCGCAATGCCAGAATTTCCAACCCCCTGGAATCACGGGATCATTTAGGTTGGAAAATCCATCTGAGACCATTGAGTTCCACCACTCTCCCAGCACTGCCAAGGCCACCAGTAGCCCCAGTCCCCAGGTGCCACATCCACACAGCTCTAAAGTCACCCCAGGGGTGGGGACTCCAGCTCTGCCCAGGGCGGCTGTGCCGGGGCTGGGCAGCCCTTCCTGGGAAGGAATTTTCCCAATGTCCAACCTAAACCTCCCGTGGCACAGCCTGAGGCCGTTTGCTTTGTCCTGCCCCTTGTTCCCTGAGAGCAGAGCCTGATCCCAGCTGGCTCCATCCTCCTGGCAGGGAGTGGCAGAGAGCCAAATCTCCCCTGAGCCCCCTTGTTCCCCCTCACCTGGGCCGTTCCCCCTCACCTGGGCCGTTCCCCATCACCCTGAGCTGCAGGTTTAGTTCTTGCCTTGCCTGCTGGCACAGTCCTGTTCCTGTGTTTCCCATTGGAGCTCCTGCAGCCCTGGGCCACTCCCGGCCATTCCCAGTCATTCCCAGCCATTCCCGGCCGTGTGCTGCTGTCCTGTACCGATCCATGGAAGTTCCTGCAGGGATGAGGGGCCGGCCAGTTCCTGGTTTTCCCGGGGATTCATTTTGGAGTTCATCCCCAGCAGCTCCTCGCTGTCCCGGGGCCGATCCCGTCCCAGGGCGGGGCCGATCCCGTTCCCTGTTCTGATCCCGTTCCCTGTTCTGATCCCGTTCCC